TCTAAAAAAATGTTGAAATTATGCAAAAATACGACTATTTTTAATACATTATCATTTACTAACTAATACTTCATTTTTTGAAATAATAACTTGTTAATTTTTCAAATACTTAGTATCTTTTTTGTTTGTTCAATTTATTTAATGGATTTTCAATTCATTCCATCATTAGAAAGGAAATTCAAAAAGGGTTAATTATATGATCAATAAAATGTGAACTTACTACAGTATTTAATTGAAAGCTGTTTATTAATTAAATATTATGAAGCAAGCTCCTAAGTTGAGTGAAGTAAACAGTCCTAACAATAAACTCATTAATATTCTATTATAGAAATAAAAGAGTCCTTCATAATATTCAATATAGAGTCCACCAGTCTCCCCAACTTAAGCTCATTTACCAAAAGGTTAATACCAAAGCAAGAACACATCAATTGATTTGTCTAAATTGGCCACATTAATGAAGTAATAGAAAGTGAAGTCACCTTTGGATGGATAGAAAGATTCAATGACTTAGCTTATAGAAAAAGCTCGAGCTATTGTGATATCAGCAAAAACACCAACAGGGCCAATACATATTCGGAATGACTCAGCTAAGGTTCGGAAGGAGAACAAAGTACCAGAAGTTGTAAGTCCAAAGGTTTCAGATACAAAATAGATTGGGAAAGCTTTATTTACATTTGAATATGTAATTGGTATTGGAGGATTTGGGAAAGTTTGGAAAGTAAAGAGAATTGGATAGTTATATGCAATGAAAGAAATGTCTAAAGCTTTGGTGATAACTAAGAAGAGTGTGAACTCAGTGATGAATGAGCGTATACTACTCAGTCAACTCAAACACACATTCTTAATCAATATGAATTATGCGTTTCAAGATAGAGAAAACTTATATTTAGTTATGGATTATATGTGTGGAGGTGATTTACGATTTCACATTGGTAGAATGAGACGATTTAATGAGGAACAAACTAGTATTAGTATTTAATGATAATAAGAGTTTTTTGTGGCCTCTATATTTATTGGTCTTGAGTATCTACATTCTAATAATATAATACACAGAGATATCAAACCAGAAAATCTGGTACTTGATGAAAAGGGTTTTGTTCATATTACTGATTTAGGTATTGCTCGTGTAATGAAGCCTGAAAATTCAAGCGATACTAGTGGTACTCCTGGTTATATGGGTAAGTTGTATTATTTAATAGTTAATTAGCCCCTGAAGTGATGTGTAGATAGAATCATACTTATGCAGTAGATTACTATGCTTTAGGTGTAATTGCATATGAATTTATGTTAGGCAGAGTATAAAATTTGATTAATTCTAATAGAGACCATATGTTGGTAGATCCAGACAGGAGATTCGTGATCATATACTGTCTAGATAAGTATAGATTAAATCAAGTGAAGTGCCTCCTAATTGGAGTGTAGAGGCTGTTGATTTTGTAAATAGATTAATACAAAGAAAACCATCAAATCGACTTGGAAATAATGGAGGTTATGAAATCAAATTGCATCCATGGTTTAAGAATTTCCCATGGTCAAAATTATAAAACAGAGAAATTATTGCACCATTCATTCCAAATCCAAGTGATGATAATTTTGATTAACGTCAAATAGTGATTGAGGATGAAGAGAATGCTGAAATAATCAGTTAAAATATACAATTGTTAAGAGATCCCAATGTTTAACAACAGTTTGTTGATTATGAATATCAGATGCATAATAATGAGAAGGCCTTTGTCTTTGATTAATAAAAATAATGAAGCTATCACTCACATTATTTACACTTCTAATATCTATATATTGTGCCGTACATAGAGAATATTATGATATTTTGGGAGTCTCTCCAAATGCTTCAGTTTAAGACATCAAAAAGGCCTATCGTAAACTATCATAACAATACCATCCCGATAGAAATTAAGGTGATCCAGATGCAAATGAAAAATTCTCAAAAATCAACGTGGGTATATAAAATAATATAAATTTAGCATATGAGGTATTATCAGACCCAGAATAGAGAAAAAAATATGATAAAGGAGGAGTTGATGGTCTAAATAATTAAGGAATGTAACATCATGATCCATTTGATATTTTCGGATCATTTTTTGGAAGAGAATAATAAGGAGAACGTAAGGGACCAGAATTGAAGGTGAAAGTTAGAGTTACTTTGGAAGACATTTATAATGGAAAAGAGATACCTATTTATTTAACTAAATAAATATTATGTCCACATTGTAGAGGATCAGGAGCAGATGATCCAGATTTAGTAGAAACATGTCCAGCTTGTAAAGGTGTTGGTAGTGTTTAGAAAAGATAATAAGTTGGATTTGGATGTAATGTTATTTATTGAGAATTTAAGTTTTTTAAACATTCCAGGCCACGTGTGAAAGATGTTATGGAACAGGAAAGATCATTAAAAAAAAATGCCATCTTTGTAAAGGTGATAAGGTAATACGATATTTATAATTCTTAGATAATTCCTGGAGCTGATAATATTAGTTTGTATATAGAAAAAGGAATATAAGACAAATAAACTATAGTAATAATAGACATATATAATATAGAAATATGAGAATATGGCTGATGAACGAAATGATTCTGGTACTTCTGATCTAATCTTTTAAATTGAATAAATACCTCATACATTCTTTTAAAGATAAGGAAATGATTTAAAATGCAAAGTCGAAATTACTTTGAAAGAAGCTTTACTTGGTTTTAAGAAAAAGATTAAACATCTTGATAATCATTTTGTAAGAATTGATAAAGAGGGTATTACAAAACCAGGAGAAGTTTAAATTATAAAAGGAGAAGGAATGCCATAACATGAATTTTCATCTTAACATGGAGATTTATATGTAGAATATAAAGTAGTAATACCAAATTTTAATGGAGAATAACTTAGATGTAAATATAAAGTATTATCAAATAGAATGGTAAAAATTCTTTTAATGAATATAATATAAATGTATATTTTACATGTTTTATTTATATATATATATGTATATCTATATTATTTCTTAGTATTTACTTTGATATACATTTTATATTTTTTATAATCAATTAATGTATTCAAGTTATCAGATAGTAATTGAAAATGAACCTGAATGTGTGAATTTGTAAGAAATACCTATACTGTATATGAATTCAATAGCTTTGTAATTTAAAGATGAATAGATGACAGAGTTTAAAGTCATTGAATTTGCATTGATAATACTTTCATTGTTGATTAGTATGATTTGTGGTGCACGTTACTTGATGTGAGCATGAAATTAGTTAATGTTAGTGTGTCGATGATTTACATGTGTTAGACAACAATCAACATATTGGCACTCCTTTCATTGATACTTATGATATTGCCTTCAATTACTCTATGTTCTAAGACATTCAAGATGAGTTTCCATATGTAGAGAATTATACAATTATTATATTTATTGTTATTGATCCTAGGTATAACGGAATTTTTTTTTTTTTTAAACTCAAACTTATCAAGAATGTAGATTATAAGGGAAAATAATAGTAGAAGAAGTTGGACTATTGCCATTCCTAATAGAAATTCTTTGTTGTCTAATGAATTTTGTGTATGTAAGTTACTTGCATTATGTCACTGTTTAATATTGCAATAAAGAATAACCAATCAGAATGTAAATAGTGTAAAAGATAATGAATACAATGGTACCAATAATTTGATATTATATTATATTTTATAAATATGGGATGTTTAATTACATCTGAATAACTCAATCAGTAGATAACCATGATGATGAAGTCTATACTCAATACGGAATACTGAGAAAAAAGTAGCAAATCAAAGTGCATCTTATTGTAGATGAATATAAAAAAGTTAAAATAATTAGAAAGTAAATCAAATTTAAATCAGATGTCAAGAATGCCCTGCAAGAGTAACTAACAAAGATTAAAACAGTAACTCCTCAAAAGTTGTCAATAGCATATTGAAATTAAATATTTTATATATGTTTTCATTTATTTACTAACCTTTGTTAATTTTTTTCAATTGATTTTAAAAGTTATCCATTGTTTATTCCTATTTATCAGAGTTCAAGGCATTAAATATCCTCATCTTTTGTTTTCTTATATCATAAATTTATTGATTTAATCANACATGAATTTTCATCTTAACATGGAGATTTATATGTAGAATATAAAGTAGTAATACCAAATTTTAATGGAGAATAACTTAGATGTAAATATAAAGTATTATCAAATAGAATGGTAAAAATTCTTTTAATGAATATAATATAAATGTATATTTTACATGTTTTATTTATATATATATATGTATATCTATATTATTTCTTAGTATTTACTTTGATATACATTTTATATTTTTTATAATCAATTAATGTATTCAAGTTATCAGATAGTAATTGAAAATGAACCTGAATGTGTGAATTTGTAAGAAATACCTATACTGTATATGAATTCAATAGCTTTGTAATTTAAAGATGAATAGATGACAGAGTTTAAAGTCATTGAATTTGCATTGATAATACTTTCATTGTTGATTAGTATGATTTGTGGTGCACGTTACTTGATGTGAGCATGAAATTAGTTAATGTTAGTGTGTCGATGATTTACATGTGTTAGACAACAATCAACATATTGGCACTCCTTTCATTGATACTTATGATATTGCCTTCAATTACTCTATGTTCTAAGACATTCAAGATGAGTTTCCATATGTAGAGAATTATACAATTATTATATTTATTGTTATTGATCCTAGGTATAACGGAATTTTTTTTTTTTTTAAACTCAAACTTATCAAGAATGTAGATTATAAGGGAAAATAATAGTAGAAGAAGTTGGACTATTGCCATTCCTAATAGAAATTCTTTGTTGTCTAATGAATTTTGTGTATGTAAGTTACTTGCATTATGTCACTGTTTAATATTGCAATAAAGAATAACCAATCAGAATGTAAATAGTGTAAAAGATAATGAATACAATGGTACCAATAATTTGATATTATATTATATTTTATAAATATGGGATGTTTAATTACATCTGAATAACTCAATCAGTAGATAACCATGATGATGAAGTCTATACTCAATACGGAATACTGAGAAAAAAGTAGCAAATCAAAGTGCATCTTATTGTAGATGAATATAAAAAAGTTAAAATAATTAGAAAGTAAATCAAATTTAAATCAGATGTCAAGAATGCCCTGCAAGAGTAACTAACAAAGATTAAAACAGTAACTCCTCAAAAGTTGTCAATAGCATATTGAAATTAAATATTTTATATATGTTTTCATTTATTTACTAACCTTTGTTAATTTTTTTCAATTGATTTTAAAAGTTATCCATTGTTTATTCCTATTTATCAGAGTTCAAGGCATTAAATATCCTCATCTTTTGTTTTCTTATATCATAAATTTATTGATTTAATCATTACTACTACATCTTCGTCCTCTAAAGTATCCCTTTGCTCATTCTCCCTTTGTTTATTATTATTTTATAACATCCACACGGTAATTATAAAGGATGGATGTTATAAAATAATTAATACAAAATAATGACAAAAGTCCATACATCCAACTTAGCATTATAGTTTATTAATTTTGTGGAATTTTAGAGTCTCAAATTTTAGACTTTTATTTACTGTCATTTAATTCTATTATTATTATTAAGCAATGCTTTTTTCATTTTGATATATCTTTGCAATATATTCCTTTTCATACCATACTACATATTTTTAACAATAAGATCCATTCCAAATATATTATAGCAGTATTGAACTATTGTAATTATTGCACCTTAATCTTCCATTCCCATTTGTTCTTTAATAGATTTTTTCAATATATTTTTAGGAGTTTCAATCCTAAACTTCTCCATCTTTTTTACATCTACTATAAATTAACTATAAATTTAATATTAATATCATATATAGTAAGAATGCATATTCTTCTTTTTTTAAAGTTGAAGTTATCTCTACTTATTCCAAAAAAAGAAGACTTTAATGATTCATATAATTATTATACCATCAAAACAAATATTAATACTGCGTAAAACTATAACATTAAAACTTTTAAATATGATCAATTATCATATGATCAATTATCCTAAAATTTAATATCAACCTAAATAAATAAATTTAAATGGATTTAGAAAGCAACGACTTCTTGGCAGATGGTGACAATCGCAATGTGAAATCTCGGTCTAAGAATAATAATAATAAGAGAAACAATAAAGTAGAGACATTACAAAGAGATTAATAAAAATAAAAAAGGGAGGAATAATAACATAAGGATGAAGATTGGTCAGACGAAGAAGAGAAGAAAAGTAATGCCAAGAAGTTGGAACAGTAGTAAAAGAAATTAAAACAAGTCTAGAAGCAATTAGAATATAAGAAAGATGAGGAAGAAATGTAACCAAAATTAAAGGGCAAAGAAAAAAGACAAGCTCATGTACACGATCTATGATCATTATTTTAATAATATCAATTCCTTAATTTACTTAACAATGCCTTAAACAGCCAGACCATGTTCTTCCTACTCTATTAATTGTTATAGTATAGTATTCCTAAACATGTCTTTAATTTTTATTGAATCAGACTCTAATAGATAGTATAATATTTGTAAAAGATGTTTGAGGTTCAACTAACTCTAATCCTTTTATATTAAGAGTTCCAAAAGTTATTTTCGAAATAATAGACTAAGTCCAAATTCTTTAGGTAATACCTTAACTAATGTTGGGTACATGGGAACAGTATTATTTTTAAAATAACCAACAAGAATATCTATATTTTTGCTGAGAGGTATTCGTTGAGTTTAATCAAGTTCAATTAATTTAACAATTGTATCAAGTAACTTTGTAATATTTAGATTTGTTGTTAATAATCCAACATAAATAGTAATACCTCCATTTTCTTATAATTTTTATTTGCATCTTTCAGAAGAAGTAGCTAATGAACATAATATACTGATAGCTGCCTTTTTCATGGAGATTTAGTTTTCTTATTCACTTGGTAATTTAAATAATTCAAGCAATAATGGAACACCTTCATAAAGACATAATTCTTCTTATTTATCATGATTAAGTTTTGTAAGATAAAATATAATTCTTAATATATCTGCAATCATCGGTCCTTAACTTGGTAAATCTTTCTTTAAAAGGGTTAACGCTCTTGGTATAATAGCAAATCCATCTAAATGTGGTTAAAGATTAGGTTCAGTAGAGAGATATCTAAATATTTTTATGGTTTTTAAAAGTGCTTATTCTTAATTTTAATTAAGAAAAGTAGCTAATCTAGTAATAACTTCTTTTTCACAAAGTGATTACTTAACTATTTTATCTTCACATTTTGCTAAAATCACTAAAATATTTAATGATTTAATCATTAAATTAACATCTATATTTTAAATTTATTCAGCTATAAGTACAAGTCTATAAGTGATGAATTTGCTTATTAGAAGTCTACTTAGATTTCTTTAACTTATTGTATTTAGATCGTATAGTAATATTATTGTATCTAATGCTAAACCAATTAAATCAATATTATTGGAGATATCTGATGTGTCAATTAATTCTAATAGATTATCTAATCCTCCTATTGAGAGTAAGTATCCTTCTTTAAAATAAGTTAATTATCCTAAGAAATAGGCAGCTTCAACTCTTAATTCTTTATGAAATTCAAATGAAGTGATTTATTGATAAAATGTTGCAGCACCTAAATAACATGATAATTCTAATAATTAAGGATTCTAATCTACAACAATATTTATTAATTCAAATATCAATTTTAAAATTTATAATGATTATTAATCTTATGAATTATTTTCACAATATAATGGCATATATTTTTCTATAATTTCCAATAAAGATGTTAAACCAGTATGAATAAAATATTCTTTACATTTATCATTAGGAATAGTGTCTTTTAACAATTCCAAAATTTTAATAATTTAAGAATTATCATTTTATTCTGTTAATTAAGTTATAAGTTCATTAATTTCTCTCATACTTTTACCATCTTCATTTTAACCCCAAAATCCATTTTATTTAATTTAATGACTAGTTCTTAATTTTAATTATCTGAGAGAATCTAATTAAGAATCTCTAACAGCACTACTTTTATCTATTTTTCTAGGTGATTAACATTGAACTAATTAAGGTACTTATTCAATAAATGAATCAGTAATAAATGTTCCAAAATTAGATTAATCTACTATGTGATTTCGTATAGTATTTGTTACTTCTTCAGGTAAATTAGGTCCTTATACTATATGCCAACTTTTTGTAATCCATATATGTTTGAGCATAGTTGTGGCATCATCTCTTAAAGTAGGATCTTTTTAGAAACATTGAATTAAGAAATCTCTACATTCATTTGAGATTCCTTCTGGTAATGGAGGACAATCTCTTTGAACAATTTAAAACATTGCTGCATATTATAATCTATCAAAATATGGTGGATTTCCTGTTAATAATTCTATGACAGTACATCCAAGTGACCATATATCACAGGAAGTAGATAAATTTCCAGACATTTCTATAACTTCAGGTGCCATCCAATATGGAGTACCAACTATGTTATTACTTTATGTCGTATCTTCAGATAAAGTTGTGGCCACTCCAAAGTCTGCCAATTTAACAGTACTTTATTATCTCATGATTAAAATTACCCATCTTTAGTAGTCAAAATATTGGCACCCTTTATGTCTCTATGAACAATTCCTTATTAATGTAAATACTCTAATCCTTTCAATACTTATTTAACATAAATGGCAACTAAAGACTCTGGAAATGATCCAAATTTCTTTAGAATACTTGCTAAACTTCCACTTTCTATATATTCAAGAATGATATTCAAAAATTGATCAGTCTCTATACAATCAATATATTTCACTATATTTTCATGTTTCAACTTTTTCAATAGATAGATTTCTTGTTATAATGCTTTATATTGATCTTCTTTCAGTGTGGCTCTTGACACTTGCTTAATTGCCACAAGTGTTCCCTCTATTATTGTGTGTTTATTACTAATTCCAAATTCAATCCTTTGTACACAGTACCAATCGAACCTCTTCCTAGCAAATCGCCTAGCTAGTAATTACCGATCTTCTTCAACTATCTAGACAATTGAGACATTTAATATTATTTAATATATATATATATATAGTAGTGATTGTAAAGAAGCGTGCAGATACAAGATGCATGTAAGCAATCTTATATTGAATAATGCCATTACTTTAATGTGGCAAAAGTAAAAAGGGACACAAATATTGTAGATTGTGTGTCCAGAGTGTTATTTGCCATAAATTAATTTAATTAATGAATTTAATCCCTAACGAGCGTCAGGCTATAGAGCAGTTAAGAGAGGTCAGTGAATTAGAACCCACTTTATTGAATTGGGGGAGAGAAATACGACTCTTCAATAGGAATTCCAATAAAAAGCGAAAGTCTTCTACTAGAGATGGAGAACATAGATATCATCGTTTACCTCAATTGAATAAGATTCCTCTTAAAATACCACTTCAAGAAATCTCATTAAATAAAGAATATTCTACTCCTAATTATTCATAATTACCTCCCTTAATCAAACCTGTTAAACCTCATACTGCAAAACCTAATTATAATGGCATTGTTCTTGGTGTTAACTTTGCACACTTTGAAAAGCGTATATTAAGTAAAATCAATTAAGCATGAAATATATACTATATTATTCATTTATATATTAGCATTATATTTAAAAAAATTAAACATAAAAATGCAGCCACAATAATTCTTGGATTTGGTATAATGTGCTTTTTTTGAGAGTAATACACAACGAAGTTCAGCAGAATAAGTATTGCTTAAATACAAAGATGAATGTCCTGATGAATTCATGATATACTGTGCTTCAGCATTTTCTAATCGCGGCATTTAGAATCGCATAAGAGTTGCTTGCAGTACTTTAATTAAAAGACTTGTGGGATTGATTGTAATAATCTAATTGTATTTTAGCATCCTCCATCTAATTAAATTATTTGGTTGGCATGTTCTTAAAAAACTAAAAGTGATGTGAAATTGAAGTTCATGGAATAATTGATTGACCCTGAAAATGAAATTAGAAGATCAGCAGCCAACGTGAGCCTATTAAACTATCTATTAGACTATTAGTGAAATATGTGCCATAGAATTACCAAGACAAGAATGGCCGGATCTAATTTCTCGATTGACAACAAATTCTAAACACACCGATATTTTAATTAAAGTTTCAGCCATCATGACATTAGGTTATATTTGTGAAGCATTAGTATGAATTGTAATTATTTAGAAAACTCATTAATCATCTGGTATATCTGAATAAGACTCAAAAGTAATTTTAATGGGAATTTGTGTAGGAATGGATTTAAATGAATAAAATTTAGAAATTAGATTGACAGCAATTAAAGCTTTATAAGATTCTTTATATTTTATGAACAACTTGTTTAAATAATAAGTATTTATACTTACTTTTAATTTAGGAAATCTTTACTTATGTGAAAAATTTGATATTATCTAATGCAATATGTAACATTTAAGAAGTTAAACATAAAGCACTATAATGTTTAATTGATTTTGTTAAGTAACTCTTTACATTTTTACCTGCTTTTATAAATGAATTATTTTAAACAACTTAGGCTTCATTTGAAAATTAAGGTGAAATCTCAATAGCAGCAATTGAAATTTGGAATACTGTTTGTGCAGAAATGAAAGAAGAAATTATGTAAAATGGCAATTAATAGACACCAGAAAGTAATGCAGTAGATTGTTGTGTGTAATTTTTTAAGAAGAATTATGAAGGATTCTTACTACCATTTATGAGAAACCTCTTATTAGATAGTGGAGATGTTGATGATGAATATTAAGGTTTATCAGTTCCTGATTCATCATGTAAAGGATTAGCATTTATAATTGAATTTGCTGGAGTTAATACATATGAATTAGTTAAAAATTTTATATAGAATACAATTACAAATTAATAATGGGAATATAGAAAAGCTAGTGTTATGGCATTTGGTGCATTGGCTGAAGTCTAAACTAAAGAAATAGAATTACTTATTAAATCTGCATTGAGTAGTCTTTTCACTTGTTTAATTGATTAACATTACAAAGTTAAAAAGGCTACAGCTCAAACCTTGAGTAGAGTAGCTGAAAATTATCCATAATGTTTTCATGAACATGATTAAGCAAATCACATGTTAGCAACATTATTAGATTAATTAAATAATAAAATATCAATTGTTTAACATTTAATTTGGGTATTTGTTTACCTAACAGAATAATTATAACTCTTTCCAAATAGTATATTTAGTAGAGAGAAATTTACAATATTGTAACATTTAGCAAGTACTTCTGTTAGAGCAGATATAAAGAATTCAGAAATATCATTAATTGATACTGCTTTTATGGCTATTCTTAATATTATTTATAGTGTTACTGATACAAAATTATGTAATGATTATTTAATATAATTCTTTTAATAAATTTAACTATTAGAGAGTGGTACATAAGTACCTGCTGAAATTAAATATCATTTAGAAATGGGATTGATGAGTGCAATGCATGGTTGTGTTGTTAGATTAGATGATTCAACAACACCTGAATCTGTATTTGAATCAATTATGAAAACTTTATCAAATGTTGATTCTAGAGTTAAAAATGATTATTTTTATGTACTCTCAGGAATAGCTTATGCATTTAAAAAGAAATTATCTAAATATTCATCTTAATTAATAGGAGAATTAAATAAACCATTATCTGAACCAGATGATATGGAAAGTTTTAAGACAGCATTATTTTGTTTAGCAGATATTGCAAGAGCTATGGAAGAAGAGTTTGTACCATATATGAACATTTTAAATTATTTCTTTGGTTTAATTAAAGTAATAAATATATATATATTAAAATATAGAATCCTAATTTTAATAGAGAATTAAAATTATAAGTTTATAATGCTATTTCAGATATAATATTAGGATTGAAAGAGAAATCATTTTAATTTTTAGGTGATTTGAAAGAAATTCTGAAATTAGGATTTGCAGCTAGTATGGATTTAACAAAAAGTTAATAGAATGTTGATTAAGATTATGCAGAAAGATTGAAAGAAACAATGACATCATTCTATACTTGTATTTTACATGCCTATTGTGAACCTAATGTACCTAATTTTGATTTAAGAGATACAGTAGATTGGTTCATAATATTTTGTACTGAAATGTGTAGTTTAAAATTAAAACCAACAATTGTATAGATTATGAATAAAATAATAGGAATATGTTAGATTAACATTATGTTGTATATTTGATTGTTCACATTTCTTTTAGACAGTACCAGAGACAAAGATAAAATTGAAAGATTTCATAACAAGTGATTTTGTAATTGAATTGATTAGAAAGATGAGTTAATTTAATGATAAAGATTATCAAGAATGTGTGTCATTTGCTAAATAGTTACTAAATGACGTTTATGGATTTTAATTGAAATTGTATTGAATTTAATTTAATTTTAATATTAATGGGTAATGTATGTGAACCAAGAGAAGAACTAGAATGGAATGATAGAACTATTTAACTTTAAAGACGTCTCGAACCTAAAATGTCAATATCTAGTCCTTACTATTCAAAATTAAAACAAATTGAATCAACTTAAAATTGTTTATCTCAATAAGCACTAGAAAAATAAATTCTTAATCTAGTAGATATTCGTTAATAAATTGTGTAAGAAATGCTTAATCATGTTATAACTTGTGGTCATTAAGAATTAGTATCATCATAAATAATGACTGATACTCATAATTTCTCATCCTTTAATTGGATCAATGATTCAAATAGTCATTATGAAAGTTGGAATCCATAAGATTGTCATACATTATAAGAAACTACATGTGAAAGAGGAATACATTTAAATGAATGTATGCGTTTATGTTGTTTGAATTTGGAAGCATTTAAATATACAGAATAAGGTAGTGATTATATTTATGTTGCTTTTATTATGAAATATTGATTAGACAATTATCATTATTTCTTTGAATTTGGAAAATACCATTCCTTACCAGGAGTATATCCCAATGTAGAATACAATTCTTTACGTGTTTACATACTTATAAATTATTTAATTTCTTTACTTTTAAACTGAATTTACTTAAGATTCATCCTTTCTCAATTATTTCAAAAATTCATCAATAGCTTTACTAGCAATTCTTAATGTTGAAACAGGATAGATAACACAATTATAACCCATTTATTCAAATTCTTTTAATGAAATATATGGAGTCTTTCCAAATTCTGTCATATTAGCTAATAAATAAATATTTGGATTCTTAGATTTCAATTCTTTTGCAACAATAGCCATTTCTTCTTTTGTATGTAATCCTTCAGGGAATATCATATCAGCACCAGCATCCATATATGCCTTACTTCTTTTAATACATTCATCTAATCCATGTGTACCTCTAGCATCAGTACGTGCTATAATAACATTAAATGATATTAAATACCACAAATTACAAACTCTCCTCCACTACATTAAACACTTGCATTTTTAGCTATTTATATCTTTTTCTCCATTACATCAGATGGAACCAATTCCTTACCATCTAAATGTCCACAACGTTTAGGAAATACTTAATCTTCAATATGTAGACCTGATGCTCCATGTATGAAATATTCCCAAACTGTTTTAGAACACATTTCTCCTTCACCAAATCCTGTGTCTGCATCAGCCAAAATAGGTAATCCTGAAGCAAGAGCAACATCTTTGATTGTCTTACAGAATCCATCCAAAGTAACCATACTTAAACAATAATCTCTAAATTATACCCAATATCTGGAACTCCACTTGATGCAGTGACTGCAGCACCTGAAATGTATAAGGCTTCAAAACCATTATCTGCACATTGTCTACCAACCATACCATTGTATGCTCCTGGCATCATTAAACATTTCTAAGCTAATAGCTTTCTAAACAATGAGCAATTTTATTTAAATAACATAATAATTTTTTTTATTCCAAAAGCATTACCACTTATAAATTACAAAATATAATAAAAATAATCTTATAATTCTTCAAAAATTAAATAATCTCTACATCATACTCTTATAATTTTATGATGAAATTTAATTATTTTTTTTAGATCTTCACAAAATTATTCTTTGTAAACTGTTTACTTATTCTAAATATAACATAAAATTCAATATAAATTACTATTTCTTAATATATAGATATATAAATATATAATATAAAAATCCAAAATTTACAATCATTATAATGAGTTTAGATTTTCTATAGTATTAATACTAAAATCTTTTTTATTATTATTACATCCTTATTTTAATATTTGTGAATGTCTAAATGAATTAATTCAATGGTGCATCATCAAAATGACTTCAATAATTAATTTATAATTATGGGATGTTCAGAATCTACGCATTATAAGTCTTCTCTTTAAATGAGCCGAGACTCTACTTTAGACACATGTAGAACATCTCCAAATAAAACTAAACCAAAAGAAGATTTTCTAGATTCATACAACTTTGAGGATTTTGATACATCTGAATTAAACATAGAACAAACATGTTTTCATTTCTATGATATTATTCTCCAAAAGATTGTTACAGTCCCAAAATTAAAGTCAATCAATATGTCAACCATTATTAAAAGAAGAAGAGATAAAATTTGATATTCTTTCTCATTTTTGTACTAACAAATTTTTACACTTATAACATAATCATTATCAGATATTCTGTTTTAAATAGTTAAAAATGACTTTATATTAATTACCTATTCAAAACCATTCAAAAAACAATCAATTAAAAAACGATTTAATGCTCAATTACAATAATTATTAGATAGATATCTTAATACAAGTTTTAAAATTAATTTAACAAATTTTATCTCATTTAACACTTGTCGTTTATATGGAAGCTTATAACCTAAAATCATTTTTCCTATTTAAGCTTAAACATTTATATAATAACTTAAGATGTATTCCAAAACATCTACTCATTACTTAATAATGATGATATTTTCAAATATTTTTATTAAATAATTTTTTCAAACTCTTTAATATTTTTAATAACTCTCTCTTGTATAAAACATAATGGTCAAAATANATGCAGTGACTGCAGCACCTGAAATGTATAAGGCTTCAAAACCATTATCTGCACATTGTCTACCAACCATACCATTGTATGCTCCTGGCATCATTAAACATTTCTAAGCTAATAGCTTTCTAAACAATGAGCAATTTTATTTAAATAACATAATAATTTTTTTTATTCCAAAAGCATTACCACTTATAAATTACAAAATATAATAAAAATAATCTTATAATTCTTCAAAAATTAAATAATCTCTACATCATACTCTTATAATTTTATGATGAAATTTAATTATTTTTTTTAGATCTTCACAAAATTATTCTTTGTAAACTGTTTACTTATTCTAAATATAACATAAAATTCAATATAAATTACTATTTCTTAATATATAGATATATAAATATATAATATAAAAATCCAAAATTTACAATCATTATAATGAGTTTAGATTTTCTATAGTATTAATACTAAAATCTTTTTTATTATTATTACATCCTTATTTTAATATTTGTGAATGTCTAAATGAATTAATTCAATGGTGCATCATCAAAATGACTTCAATAATTAATTTATAATTATGGGATGTTCAGAATCTACGCATTATAAGTCTTCTCTTTAAATGAGCCGAGACTCTACTTTAGACACATGTAGAACATCTCCAAATAAAACTAAACCAAAAGAAGATTTTCTAGATTCATACAACTTTGAGGATTTTGATACATCTGAATTAAACATAGAACAAACATGTTTTCATTTCTATGATATTATTCTCCAAAAGATTGTTACAGTCCCAAAATTAAAGTCAATCAATATGTCAACCATTATTAAAAGAAGAAGAGATAAAATTTGATATTCTTTCTCATTTTTGTACTAACAAATTTTTACACTTATAACATAATCATTATCAGATATTCTGTTTTAAATAGTTAAAAATGACTTTATATTAATTACCTATTCAAAACCATTCAAAAAACAATCAATTAAAAAACGATTTAATGCTCAATTACAATAATTATTAGATAGATATCTTAATACAAGTTTTAAAATTAATTTAACAAATTTTATCTCATTTAACACTTGTCGTTTATATGGAAGCTTATAACCTAAAATCATTTTTCCTATTTAAGCTTAAACATTTATATAATAACTTAAGATGTATTCCAAAACATCTACTCATTACTTAATAATGATGATATTTTCAAATATTTTTATTAAATAATTTTTTCAAACTCTTTAATATTTTTAATAACTCTCTCTTGTATAAAACATAATGGTCAAAATAGAAATGTTATTTATAATTAGAATATTATAATTTATGTTTTTGAGAATTTAACATCTAATTTAAATTAAGAGGTCGATATATAAGTTCGAAAGATAGTTAAAGAGAATTTTTTTGAAAATAAATGAAAAAAAAAATAATATTTTATTAGTTATTTCTTTGGTTATTAATAGTACTGAAACTATAATTCTATATAGATTTCTTTTATTTTTATGAAAAAATCAGCCCTTTTTTAATTACATATGTCTTATTTGAAAAAATTAGGATATTTTAATAGTATGTGTAATAAAAGAGAGGAGAAAAGATCAGTTGATTATAAGATATTCAAATGTAATGAATATTTGATTATTGTTAATTCTTTAATGGATTTAGTGGATGATAAATTATTATATGATTAACTATTAATAAATTTTGTTTACCCATAAATTCTAAATTATAAGAATTGGTTATCTCTGAATGATGAATATAAATGACAATAATAGTAAATAAGTGTTTAATATAATATAAAATTCATTATTTTTTCAAGTTAAAAAAGGTTGGGTTTACCCATTTTAAGTTAGGCCTGGATGCAATGAGTTTCTTAGTTTATTTTGATATTGTAAGGGCTGGTTCATCATAACTAAATTTGCATAGGACGATGTCTAAATTGAATCTCACTCTTTTCTTTGAGTTTATTTTTATTTTATGAGTGGATTTATGATAAATGAATTAGGAGGTTGATAAATCATCTTTACGTAATGATTCAGAATAGTAATCATCTAAACACTCTAGATCTTCATTGGATTGATTCTTATATTCTGAAATTGGAATCTAAAATATTTATTTTGGACCAATCATTTGAAAATGATATTTATTTTATGTTTCCAAATTTTTTCTAAGCCATATATTAGATTAAACAGATATTCTGTAAAATACATAATATTTGATTTATATTTTACTATAAAACACCTATAAGAGTATTTAAGTAATAATAGTTAAAATAAAAAGTGAGTGAATAGTTAAGATTTAATATAAATTATAAAGTTGCATATTAGAAACATTAACAAAAAGTATATACCTTTTTAAGTAATCTTAAAACATCTTACTAAAAAATTAAAAGAATATTTATTTAAATATTACTCTTTATAAATTAGATTTTAATATGATTGCAGCATATGTTGATTACATGAAATATATATCTATGAATAAAATCAATCTAAAATTAACTGAATTATATTAAATAGATATTAAAATTATATACAAAAATAGTAATGTATTTATAAAAAATTAAATTTCGAAGTGAATAAAATACTGAAATGAAAATAGATTAATCAATTTATTTGATTATCTTTGATTGAAATAATGAATGAAGATGTATTATATAGATTTATGATATGTGATTATAATTGTGACTTATTCTTTTAAATCTTTAAGTGTTTTATTGAATGAAAACTTATAATATTCATTAAGAATGATAGTGTAAATGTTATCTTTAATTATTTTCTATTGATTGGGAAGATCGAGGGAAACTTTCTTCTTAAAGTATATTATTTATAGATTGTTTTCGTACACTTTCAATTCTTTTGATTATTGTTTCTCCATATGCTTCTAATTATGTTTCTGCTTGTTTTTCATTATTTGTAATATCCTTAAATGGAGATCTCTCTTTATGTTAGATTAACACTTTATTCATTTCATTTTCTAAGTTGTTAAATTCTTGTTCATCTATTTTCACTTCATATTATATAAATAGATTTTTAAGAAGTAATATTAAATTGTCCATTTTAAATTAATTATTGAAATATTAGTTTATAATTGAAATATTAAAATAATTATAATACATAGACTTTTTATGAGTTTTAAAACAGGTGATGAAAGACATGATTTTTAAGTTAAATGTCCTTATAATCCATCACATTAGATGCCCAACTCTAAATTATTCTATCATATCTCTTAAGGATGTTAAGATAAAGCAAGATTAGAACATTTATATGAACATTGTCCATATAATTATTTGCATGTTATTTTAAAAGCAAACATGGATGCACATCTTAAATAATGTTCAGATTTAAATAAGAATACAGAAGAAGGTAATTTAATGGTAGAAATGTAGAAAGTAATTAAAGAATAGTAAAAAGAATAAAGAAAAGCATAATAATAATAATTAAAATAATAAAAATAAAATATATAAATACCTGGTGTTGTTGTACCTGATTAACCATAAAAGAAAAAGAGAGTTAGAAATAAAAAAAAGAAAGAAGAACCTAAAGATAAAAATACAGAAGGTTTACCTGTTTGGGGAGAGAGTTCAGATGAAGAAAAGAATGAAGTTTAAAAAATATGTGAATAATTTAGTGAATAATAAATAAATAAATAAAAAGATTAAGATTCTGATGATGAATGGGATTAGGTTCCAATTAAATAAAAAGGAAGAAATGGTAGAACAAAAGAAAAAGAATGATTTTATAATTAGTAACATTGTAAATTTATTTAAAATATCCCATATCATAAATTAGTGAATCAAATCAATACTCTTATAAGAGCATTTCTACGAATTCATCAAATGTTTTATTTACACCCTTTTCATTTACAAATTTAACCAAATCTTCTTTCTTTTTTTAAGGGAATAAAAGTTAAAGTTATTCAACAATTTAATTTAATTATGATGCTTTTACTATAATTTCAATTGGATCTTCTAATTTTTATATTTATTGTTTTTCATTTTCACAAATTACCTAAATATATTTATATAATTATTACATATAATTTATATATTCTTTCTAATTAATTTTCGAAATGTTCAGGTATATATGGTATATCTATAGTAACAGTTAAACATTCACCACGTGAAACATTATTAAGTTATTAATGAATGCCTAATTCTGGATTTGTTAAAAAAGCATTTATCCATTAATTTATTCCACTATTTAATATTGTCATTTAAACTATCATCTTTTTTCCAAGAACACCTGTAATTACTGGTATTTTTGAAGTCAAAGTGACTTTATAATTTTGATTTTGATTTTTATTTAATAATCCTAATTCTCTTATCCTTTTATCTACTATATCAGCTATATATTATTTAAGTTATTCATTTTGTCTAAAATCAATTTAATTAGTATTTTATGCATTATCTTTTTAATTTACTTGAACTTAAGTACTAATAATAATCTTATTATATTACCCTTAATGTCCAGCTAATGGAACAACTTATTAAGATTAATCTATTTGAATTGGTTGAAATAAAGTGCAAACATCACGACTTTGTTTCTCTACAATCACCATACTTTAATTTAAAAGTCCCCAAGATTCTTTCAAAATTGATTTATAATCTTATGTTTCTGTTACTAATAATTTGATTGATGGCCATTAATTTGATTTATAAAGAGCTTTTAATTACTAAAATTCTATATCATTCCTTATCTCTGCAACAGATTCAGTCTCTTCTAATGTTATTCATTTAAATAAATACCTGGGTTTATAATTGCATACAAATATACTGTATTAAGTTACTTATAAATTGATTTTATTATCTCAATAACATTCTGTAAATTTGTAACATTTGGAGGTATTTTATGTACCTTTTTTGAATAAACAAACTTTATATTAGACATTTCTTTTATAATTTATTATTATACCTAAATTTCCATATGTATTACTTTATATATCAATTATTATAATATGGATTATTAGTATATATATGTAAAATATATTATAATCATAATTTTAAAAGAATAAGAATATTTTATGTTTACATAAAGGAATTCTTTTTTTAATATATATACTTAAATTTTATATAATACAATTCATTAAATAAAATTCTAATTTAAATATCCAAAGTTTAATTGAGGCATAATTATATTTGTAAATGGAGAGAAAATTTCATCATTAAATTCAAGATTAATACCTTAATATTAAAATTATTAAATATACAAAATTATTCTGCATTGATCTCTTTGCAAATGAGAAGAAAGTAAAATTTAATTTTCGATATATAATAATTAAGTTTCCGAATATTGAATTTTCCCTATAATTTAATTTTATTTAAATTTGTGTCTAAAGTCTCACCTTTAATAATAATTAATTCACTAGTTTAACAATCAACAATAAATGCTAATAATAAATAAAATATTTTTGGAATTGTATTTATAAAATAATTTGGACTTACTAATTATATTGTAGTGTTAGGATTACTATACTTTTGTATTTTTTATAATGATTTCTTCAAACTTATAGTTTTACATAATAATTATGAATTCCATATTTATATCATCAAATCTTAAAATTAAATTTTATTAGCTATATTATGGAATTATATTTTATCAAAAGGTATATTTTCTTTTATAATCCTAATAAATATAATCAATAATTTTAAATATTATTAACAAACTTATTAAATTTCTTAATTTTAAGAATGTAATTTTGATTATCTAGTCTAAATTAGGATAGTAGGCTAATTTCCAAAAAAGATAGAAAAATCAACTTACATTATTTATTTATTAAATTTAATATTTACTGCATGATTAATAATTTCCTAATAATTTTAAGAGTAATCTTATAACTTTTAAAATAAGTATTATTCTAATGAATCATTTTCTACTTTTGATTCTCTTAAAAAATTCAAAACTTCTTCCTTTGATTGTATTGTTTGTGAAAATGTAGATGTAATACTTTAGAATTACAATTTTTCAATTTAAAAATTAATCAAGATAAATTTAGAATTATGAAGAATTTATTTTAAAATGTTTTCCCATCTCTAATTAATTTAAGTTAAAAGAAATTATGATCTTATTGCTTTATGATATAAATAGACAATAACAAGTAACGATAAATTGGATCCCAAACCCATAATAACAGATGTAATGTCAATACTAGAACTATTTTTTACTAAATGAAATATTCTTAATGAATACAAAACAGTAATTGTCATAGTTGAATCTAAAAATTCAGTTCCTAATATATTAATAACATTAATAATCATTTAATGAGCTCCTCTAAAATACATTGTTGGTGTATCTGAAGGTGGATCAAAAAAAAGTACATATATTGAAAAACAAATGTTTATGTAAATAATTAATGCACGTTAATGATATTCTTTATTAAAATTAAAGAACTTAGAAAGAGCAGTACATCCCATCATACCAAGTATGGGATAAGCTACATCATAATTTTAAATAATTAATGCTATAGTAAGCTTAATAATCTACAACACAATAAAAAATAACATGAATATTTTTAAATGAGTTCTTCTTTTAGGAATTTAATGTTCTTACTAATATTTCTATTCAATTGATTAGTCTAAAAATTTTAGTGTTATTTTATGCATCCAAATTAATATATATTTTAAATAAATATTAAATTGATTAGAAAATGATTAATAAAAGGAAGTAATATAATTTAATAATTTTTAATTTAATATCACTTGAAATTATTTTCATATAGAAATTTTCTATTTTGTTAATTTTTCTAGATTTGTTTTTAAACACTATTGATTAACTTCTTCCAATTTAATAATTTATTTTATTCTTTTAGCAAATCCACCATCAATTGATTCACCTAGTTTTTTATGCAATTAATGTGACTAGTTATATAACATATCAAGATTGACTTCATAAATTGATTATAGTGATTAATCATCTGAATATTAAGATACGTCATTTTAGCACTGTTCTGGTGCTGAGTCTCTTTTCATTTTATTCAACTAGTACTTTCTTTATTCAATTTAAATTTCCAGTTAAGTATTAATTTCTTATTCTTTTTTACTTTCAATCATAGTGTGAAATTTATCAGAAATCTATTTGAGTTGAGGATTGGATGTATATATCTTTTTGTTATGAATGTAATCATATAATTTAAGATCAAACATAGTAATAAGTCCATGGGCATTTTTAGGATTTTTATCTTATTTTGCTCTTTTTGTAAATAGGAAGAAAGGTTTTTTAGCAATAACATAATCTTTAAGGTTCTTGTAATCTATTCCAGTTTAAGATACATTAATTTTTTCAGTAGGATTTCTTTTTGGAGATGCTATAGTAACATCAATTTACCAATCGAGAGGTTATGATTTGTTATTATTATTTCTATTACTACTAAATCTAATATTTTATGATTCTAATAATTTTCTAACTTATTTCAAGGCATCTTCAAATCTTTTCTATTTTTATTATTGAACTTCTTGTAAATATTCTTTACTTTATTAATTCATTGTATCTTTTAATATAGCAATTGATGGATAACTATATTTATCAAAGTGTTTGCCTTAATGTTTAACATAAGGTTACACATTATCATAATTGACATAAATCTATTTGAGTTTTTTGGAACCAGGAACACTCTTTTTAAAGTAATGAGAATCCTCTTCTAATTATTCTTATTATTATTGATGTTTTAGACGATATTCATTTGAAATATCATAAAAAGTTTTAATAAAATGAATATTCTTAATTTCTTCTAATCTTTATTATTAATTAGCCTTCTTTCTTAATTCAATCTAAAAATTATAATATAAAATATTATTACTCTTTCTTAAATAAAATCTCTTAAAACTTATATTTTTCTTTATGTCTATTCATGTAATTGTTATTAAATTTACTGTGCTTCTGCAAATTTACCTTCATTCATTAGATGTTATTATTTCATTTACATTGTATGAGTAGAATTATCATAAATAGGGACACTATGATGATTTTTTAAGTTTCGCAACTTTTAAACATGATTTTTGATATTCGTTTAATCTGGGGTTATTTCTTACTCTTGTCCAATTATATAATTACTTTCAATCCAGGAAAATTGATAGAATTCATCATCTCTTAAACACTTTATTCTCCTTCTAGATACTTAAATAATTCCAACTTAAATCTCTAAGTTGTACATGGTATTAAAAGAGGATTCTCATGAATTAATGGATCTTGAAGATGCTAACATAATTATAAATATAATTTATACATTCATAGTCTTCTCTCTATGATGTTTCTTTTTTAACGAGATATCATGTAAGAAATTACCAAACATTTCTTTCCAATTATCAGGTGAATGTTCTAATTATGGTTTTCGTATTGTCATTCTTTTTGTATTACTACGATTGACTAGATATTTATTTTTGAAACGAGTAACTTGATCTTCCATCAAATTATTATTATATATATATATATATAATTAAGTATAAATCATGTAATATTCAACTTAGGTGAGAAATCATTCTCATTAAAAATTCTATTTTAATATTGTTCAGTCATCCTTAATGGAATTCTACTTGATTTCAAATCTATTACTTCACCTTTTTTATTTTCTTAAGTCTATATTATAGGTTGTAATGGATTTATTTATGGAGTTTGATTTATCATTTATTTTACAGAAATTTAAGGTCTAAATGGCAAAACAGGGATGTTATTTAATTATTTCTATTATATATTTAGAGGTAGGATCGCTTAATTATAATAATTGATTCCACCTTATGATGGT